AAATGAAAGGAGATATGGGAGGAAAGAGTCAGTGGCTTAGACCACTCTTCCTCAAGAAGGCAGTGTGAGTGACAACAAGTGCAATCTTTTTTTTAAAGAGGGAGAACACTTGAGTCTGTTTGAAGATTAAGATGAAGAAGCCAGTGGAACAGAGAAATTAAAAGTGTTGGAGAGGAGGGGCTAATTGGGAAAGGAGGTCACCAGAGGAAAGAAACATCCTTTTTCTCTGAGGTAGAAAATATAAGCATATGAAGGAATTCCCAGATAACTTACTGTCTTCAATTAAGAAATTGAAATGTCCTTCATAAAATACACATGAGAAAGCAAAATATTAGACTGTTATCAGCCACAAACACTCTAATTTAAACCAGCTTTAGAATTCTTTGGGTAATAAACTAGTCACTAAGTATTTATTAAATATTTATTGTTCACATGCCATAAAGCTTCAGACATATGCCAAATCTCCTGAAAAGAGAGGCAAAATTATTTCAAAATGTTTATATTACATTACGTAGAAAACATTAAGTGCTAATCTAGGCTTAATATTTTATAACTTTCGTCGTATTCCACCAACTGGTCACCATTATCTCTTTTAACAAAAATATATATTTTCAGTTTAATGGGCAAATACTAACTAGGCATCTAATATATCCGAATGTTATATTCAGCCCTGATTTAGGGTGTTGGGAAAAAAGGTGGACAACTGTACCAGAATTGTCATGAGTTGTTCAGACTCATAGCAAATGTTTAAAAACTAGAATCTCAGGTCCTTGAAATTGGAAGTTTTAAAACACAGTATGTACAAAATAATTTCATATTAGTGGAATACTGAAGAAATATCCCCTATCCACAAGAAGAGAGATCAAAAGAAAGAACTCCTTCTATCTGACCTGTTAATATTTTAGTTATGAAAAATATAAAAGCAAGGGAGTCCTTTGACAAGTCTAAATTTAAATCTGTGCCATGTAAACAAATAGCTTAACATCCTCTACTTGGCTGCCTCATCAATTTTAAAAAGTCAAACCAATAATCTCTTTCTTCATAAGGATAGCTGGCTGGACCAGATGCTATTTTGAAGTATATTTTGAGTTTAAAAATTATATAGAACTTTCAAGAGTTTTGTCTCTATGATAAAACTGCTCAAATGCATAGAAAATATAATATATCTATTTCCTATTTTCAAACAAGTATATCTTCCTTTTGAACACAGTTAAGGAAGAATTTGCTGAATTTTTTTGTTGGAATAACTTGGAAAGGGTTACCATGGTTTCTGTGGCTTCTTGGTCACTTTTTCTCTACATCATCAAAATATGAGATCATTTGATGCCATCTTTCTCAGCTCTTCTGATTTATGTCACTCTACAAGGGCTGTGAAAACTGGTTTGGGGTGGTGTGATATAATCTTAGATATTACATTGACCTATGGCCGACTAAAAGGACACATTATTTAAGCACATAGAAGACTTATCTGTAGTATTAAAATTACATGACAGGAGCAGAAAGATTAGGAACCCACGGCCAAAAAAAAAAACAAACAAACAAACAAACAAAAAAAACCTAAAAAGTTTTGGCAAAGATGGGGATCAATAATCACAAACAAGGGTTGAGAAACACTGTCCTAGGGCAGAGTTGTTGAGGCCTTAGGATCTATTGGATAGAAATCTGATGCATCAAATATATACTTTTTAAAAAAATTTTAAAGGTTTATATTTAAAGTATATCTTCTCCCTTTTTTTCTAATCTGCAATAGGACGTTTTTGCAATGTTTTAAATTTAGACATTTTCAAATTCAATGTAGTATGTAAAAATTATTTCGTGCAAAGGGTGTTTGTGACAAAAAAATATTTTTAGAAAATAATCCTTTCTTTTGAGGCCAGACATTTCTCTATGGCAATCTGGCAGCAAGATCTTTCAGGAGACCATGGAAGGAAAGCCGTTGGGCACCAGAGAGACATACATTCCATCTCAGATTTGCTTTGGATTAGTCTTGCAATTGGGAGCAAGTCCCTCAGTTCCCCACGGCCTCAGTTTCCTCATCTATCAAATGAGGGTACTAAAACTTAAACTTTTAAGTTACTCAGTTTCTGAGCTAAGTGATAAGGACTGAAATAAGCAGTAATAATTGGATAGAAGAGAACAAGGTATTGGTGGACTTATTTACACCAGACTTCACAAGCATCCTGTTTGGGTTCTACTGCTGCCTCAAAAAATGTAGCTCATGCTAAGGTTAAATAAACTCAATAAACTCAAAAGAATTGTCAGTAGCTTGTGGAGTAAGATTCAGGTTTGCATCAATGAAAAGACGTGAGGATGGTCAGAAATACAAGCAAGGAAAAGCCTTTCTCCTGCTCCATAAAAATCACTATGATTTATTCATTTAATGAAAAAGTCAGGGGCTTGTGTGGGCACAACTGTAGTTTTATGAAGGGAAAATAAACCCTTTGTAAAATTCCTTGTGGCAGAGCTGCTGCCACAAGGGGTCAGATCTGGATTATTGTAGATGCTGGCATCATTCCACACTGACACATTCATGATTGGGTATCACATCATTTGAGATAACTTGCAAGTCTTTTAGGTGAGAAAATCTTATGCTATAGCAAATCAGACCAGCTCTGTTTAAGTAAAAGCTTCACTGTCTTTGATCTAAACTTCAGTGTTTGGAGCCAGGACAGAAGAAGGAACATGGTTATCTTGAAATGTATTTGGTTGCTGGTTGCCCACTCAACAGATGTGAGCAGTTTAGTTGTCACCATAAATCAAGGGCTCCCCCACCCCAATGTTATAAATAAGGATGGGTAAATATTTTGGATTCATCAGCCTCCAAGTATTCTTCAGATGTTTTGGGTTCAATCAAACAGAACACATCTTGCGAAGCACATTTCCCTTGATTTTTTAGGACTGTGTGTGATTTATGGGAAATAGAATCCATATGTTTCTGCTTCATTTACACTTAAATAATCAAAAGGTTGTGTGTTGTAAGAGCTATCTGATGTCCAAGATGCCTTCTTCGTACACTTGTGTTTTTTTTCCCCCTCAAACAAATATAAGCAGCTTAAAAGCTTTGGTCCTTTTAAAAGACCAAAGCAAAAGAAAGAAAGTGGGGGAGGGGAGAGAACCTAAGAAGGTCTTGCCAAGATGCAATAAATCTGAACACCAGGAAGTTCAATTTAGGCCAAAACTACAAACCCTTGAATTTCAAGTGAGTCTAGGATTTGGGAGAAAACAAAAGCTTCTTTCCATTCAGTTTCAAAAGTAGCTCTGACGAATGCAGACAAGCAGCTGGCAACTTGGTAACCATACCAAGAGAAGACAGGCCATGAATGCACCATTAGCCTCCCAGAGAACAACTGCTGCAGGCTGTTATTCTTGGGCCTTTTGAGAGTAGTTGCTCCAGTCTGGATAAAGAACACTTTACCCTATTTTAGCGTGGAAATATCTTCTCTCTCAATGTTTCCTGGGATAATCCTCTTGCCCTAGGCCAGCATTTCCTGTCTTTCTGCCAACTGGTCCAAATGGTCTGCCATTGAACTGACTTACTGTGTGTGCATTTGGGATGGTGTTTATTTATGGGGCAATTTCATTAGAGAAATGTCTCATTGAGTTCTTAAGAGAGCCAAGAAAGCATGCAGTTTGGGTAATGTGAGAAATATGCTAACCAGGGACTCACAGATTAGGAAGATGCCAAATGTAAAGGTAAGTGTTCTTGCCCCCATGTCAATATTGAGTCACTAATATCACAGCAGCTCTTATGTCATTTTAGGCATGAATTATCCTCTAAGTGATATCCTATGAATGGTTTCAGAAGAAAATCTTTCAAATTAGAAATACTTCATGTGATAGTGCATAATTGAGTTATATTTAAATCTCTATAGAGTATATTTCTATTCATTTTTACAGCAATATACCAACTAGGATATGCAGCTTCATCATCCCTTGGGATCTTCAGACTATGTGCCCTGAAATCACTTTGACAGAATTAAGAGTCCTGTAAATTACCTACATGCCCTAATTCAGTTCTGTAGGGGGCAAAGGGCAGGGTTTGGGAATATGAGATGAAAGGTTTTATACCCTCACTCCTAACCCTAAAAAAAGATCAAATTATATAATAATATATTCCTTATTTTTGTGACACATAGGTAACCACTATGAACATTTTGGTGTATGTAATTGAGTTAAGCATGTGTATGAACGTGCACACACACACACACACACATACACACATGCTTGAACACACATGGAGTTTAATGAGATCATACTATTTATTATGTTTTGTAGGGTCTATTTAGCTATATATCAAGAACCTTTTCCTGTATCGATAAACTATTTTGATTCCTGAGTGTTAATGAGGAGGGCATTTCAGAGTGGGATTGTACCACAATTATCTTAGTATCTCAGAGTATTTTTAACATGAAATTTTAAAAAATCATTATTTCAAATGTACTTTTAAATGTTGACCTTAGTTTTCACAAAATTTTTTGTACCTTAGGACATGTTAAATAAACTAAGCATAGCTTCTTCATCTGTTAGTTCCTTGAATTTTAGACCAAAGCATAGAACAACACCCTTTGAGAACCATATGGAATATCCTTGATCCTGCTCTAGAAGAGACTAAGCTCTTTTATGCAGAAAATATTTTTTAAAGTCCCTAGAAAAGAAGATCAATAATATAGTCAATTATTTTTGTTCTCTCTCTTCCTTAAAAAAAAAGTTGTATTTCTGTCCCATTTCTACACCAGGAAGAACCTTGTGACTTAAATTCTTCTGCCTCTGGATGCTCAGTCCATTGCTAAAGTTCCTGGAGTCAACTTCCAGGAAAACTGAGGTCCATACCTATTTCCCTGTCTGTTTCTGATTCCTTTGCCCCCTGTTTTGATTTTCCCGATTGGTTGCTAGAAAACTTAGCCTTGTCCCTTTTGTTGACAGGTTGCCAGGATACATCCAGGCGACAAAGGCTGGGGTTCCTATTACCCAACAGCTTCACATACTAATGCGAAGTCCCACAAGAGGGGATGTGAACTTTGGAGCTCCCAGCTTTTCTGCTTCTGTTTCTACCAGCCCTCTCCCCAAGTCCTCAGAGGGGCTTGGCATGCTATTAGAAAAGTCAAAAAAAGACAGATAAAGAACAAATATTACAAGGTAAGCCTATCAAAAGGTGTGTTTTACTCTTGTCTCAGAGTTTTCCTCTCACTTAATAACTGCTTATTTTAGACATTCTTGGTCTCTTCCCCTTCCTTTCCATCAATATACAATAAATGTTCCCTAACTATAGGAAAGGAAACCAAAGAGAAATAATTTGTCCTTAAATACTCATAAACAAAACAATATCATTTTACTTCTTTAGATAATACCGGCAATGATGAGTTAAATATTCTAACAGTTAAAAGATAATCAAATTCCATTTTTAAGGGATAATATTTTAAACAATTTAATTTTAAGGAAAAGTAAATATGCTTTAAATATTCGTTCAGTAGCATATGTTTATTAGTCAGATTATCCATGAAAAGAAAGGGGTGATAAAGACTATAGTTACTCAATTGAGATGGCTGATTTTTTTAATTAATTGAGATGAGATCTATATGAAGTAAAATATAATGAATCTTCTATTAGACGCAGAGTCCCTAGTTTAATTCCTAGTCCTTGAAACTTGAATTCTTTAAATTGAAGTTCCTGAAAATCAATGACTTTAACACATATATACAACCATGTAACCATCATCTCAATAAAGGAATAGGATACTTTTGTCACTCCATAAATTTTCCTCATATTCTTTCTGGTCAATCTTCCCTTTAATGTTCTGGTTCCTGTCATCAAAAAAACAATTTGGACATTTATGAACTTTATGTGAATAGAATCATACAATCTATATTCTTGTATCTGACATCTTTGACTAAAAAGAAAGTTTTTAAGGTTGTTCCATGGCTTGGTTCTTTTTACAGGTGAGTATAATTGTATTATATGATCATTTCACATTTGTTTATCTATTCTGTTGATTTGTATTTGGTTTGTTTTCAGTTTGACCTTCTTATAATAACTGCTATTAACATTCTTGCACTAGTCTTTTTTCTTAACCACCAATTTAAGTTTAAAAATTTCCAGCTTTATCTTACTTTTATTGTCAAAAATGCATATATTTGGAAAATACGGTGAAATGTTTTATTTATGCATTGTGAATTTATCACCACAACTAAGTTGATTAAAGTATCCATCTCCTCATATAGTTAACTTTTTTCTTTTCCTCTTTTTTTCCTTGTTTTTGGGGATGTGAGTGATGAGAACACTTGTGATCCACTATCTTAGCAAATTTAAAAAATATAACACATTATTATTATAGTCTCTATGTTCCTTCTACATTAGGTCACCACTATGTTCCACATTAGATCTCCAGTAATTGTTTACCTTATAGCTGAAAGTATGTACTCTTTGACGAATGTTTTACCTTTACCCTTAGACCCTAGTTACCACCATTTTACTCAAATGACCAACAGGTATACAAAACATGTTCAGCACTAGCAATCATCAAGAAGTGCAAATCAGAACCACAATGAGATATCAGTTTACATCTGTTAAAATGGCAATTATCAAATGATCAAAAAATAAAAAAATAAAAACAAGCATCAGCAAGAATGAGGAAAGGGAATCCCTGCACACCAATTGGTGAAAAAATAAATTAGAACATATATTATGGAAACAATATAGAGTTTCTTCAGGAAATTAAAACTACCATGTGATTCGTCAATCACTCTTCTGGTATATATCCAAAGGCAGTGGAATCAGTATGTTGCAGAGATAGCTGCATGATCATGTTCAAGCATTATTCAATAACCAAGATAAGAAACCAAACTAAGTGTCCATCAATAGATAACTGGATAAAAAATTGTAAAGCACACATACACATATAGTATAATATTCTGTTATATATGTATATATATATATATATATATATATATATATATATAAAATCATAGCTTTTGTCATTTTAAATGTCTTTTCTTATCTGCATGTCATCTCTATTGATTTTTAATTAACCTACAAGATGCATCCATGTTAAGTATAAAATTTGATGATTTTAACAAACGAATAGCTTTATTTAGTTAACAAAGATGTCAAGAGCATGTACATTAACTGATATTCAGTTCTCCACCTTCACACCTAACTACCAGGCAATCACTGACCTACTTCGAATACTACAGATTCTCTTTGCCTATTCTACAGTTTAATATAAAGGGCCCCTTGTTCAGTATATACACTTTTGTGTCTGACATTACCAGCATCACATTCCTGGGAGGAGGACCCATGTTGCTGTGTGTATTAGTACTTGGTTTATTTTTAGTGTGGAGCAACACTTTATGTATGAATATGCCACATTTTTAACATCTGTGCACCTGTTGATGTTGATGTATATTTATGTTGTTTCTAACTTTTTATTATTATGAGTAAAATTGGCATAAACATTTGTTTGCAAAGTAGCTATAACATTTCACATTCCCAGGAATGTGTGAGTTTTAATTTTTCCATGCTGTTATTAACATTTACACTGACAATCTTTTTAACTTTAGTCATTCTAATGTGTGTATCTAGAAATATCTCTGTAGTTTTGTTTACATTTAAAAGTAAGGTTGAGTATTATTTTATAAGCTTATATATGTTTTTTTTTTTCTTTTTTGAGATACTGGGGACTGAACCTAGGACCTCGTTTATGTTAGGCAAGCACTCTATCAGAGATACATACCCAGGCTCTTAACAATCCATTTTTTTTATTAACAAAAATCTACTCAGAGTTTTTGCTTATATTTAAAATTTGGATTGTTTTGTTGTATATATATATATATATATATATATATATATATATATATATATATATACATTTTTAGATATATATCTTAAAATCTTTTAATCTGAGGCTTGTACTGCAATTTTCTTAATGGTGATTTTTAAAGAGCAGAATTTTCTAATATAAAGAAAGTATAATTTCTTACATTTTTTCTTTTATATTTAGTGGTTTTTGTGTTTTGTCTAAGAAATATTTGCAAACATTAAGATTATAAGGATATTCTTTTATGTTTTCTTCTAGACACTTTTTAGGTTTAGCTGCATGATCTATTTTGAGTTAATTTTTGTGTAGTGAAAGTAGGGAGTTGACATTAATTTTCCCCTCACATGTATCCAATTATTTCACTGTCATTTGTTTTAAAGATTTCATTTTCTTCATTGAGCTGTCTTTGCAACTTTGTCAAAAAATGAATTGACTAATATGTGAATTGACAATATATTTCCAGACTCTATTCGGTTCCATGGGTCTCTTTGTCTATCCTTTTTGGCATCATTTAATTTTAATAAGCTAACATATCTTGGCTTGTAGGTAGTGAAGCAAGTATTCAAAACAAATGAAGATGTTGACTCCTTCCATGACTACTTGCCAGTGAACTATACACAAAAATTTGAATCAGGTTGAGCATTCTTCCTTGCATGTTGCCCAAATATTTCCCTAGGTAGTAACCTGATTTTAAGTGATTCTATATTAAGTAAAAGCCAAAAATATGCTTATAAATTTATTCAAGAATCATAATCCCAGTAAAAATATGTATTTTTCAAGTCCATTTAGGCAGAATGTCTTGAACTTAATTTTCATTTATTCAATAATTCATTGAGTAGCTACGGGATTCCAGACATTGCTCTAGACAGGGAAAAAGAGGAGCAGAATATTTTTGGATCAAAATCTCTGCAAGCAAACATCCAGTGCATAGTCCTTGGCTGTGTTCTCACTTATCTTGAATTATGCATCGAAAGCTATACTGTAATTATATTACCAATTCTTTTAGTTCGTATTATGAAGAGAAATGAACAAGAGTTAAATGTTCAAGTATTCCTAAGACTTGAGAAAATACCATGAAGCTTAACTTTTCAAAAGTTGTTTTATTTTTTATTCCTTTATTTAAATAATGAACTTGATTTTTGTTGAACATTTTAATATAAGATCAAGTTAATCTCATTCAATATTCAAATGTGTTTTGGTAGCACCTACAAAGCACCACTGGTTAGGTGCTGAGGATAAAATATGCAGAGAGCAAGCAAATCCCTGTTGTAGAGTTTATATCTAAGTAAAGAAGAAAAATAACCACACATGCAGACAAATAAACAAAACAAAAATGTAGGTGGTTAATGAATGAAGATCATATGCAAAGCCACTTTCCAGTCCCTCCTACAGCCTACCCCAAAGGGAGAAAGAGTTTAGCTTGTTTAAGGAAATGAGTGGTGAAATGGATGAAGCACAGTACAGAAAAAGGTAAGTGAAAGGAGACCAAAGCAGAGATTGGGGGTGGGTGGGTATCAGATTACAGAGGACCCTCATGGTCAAGAGTTTTGATATTATTTGGACAATAGTTGGACAACCATAAAGCATTTAGTCAGAGGAGGTTTGGGTTCTAATTTCAATTTACAGAGTTAAATGAGATTGCTCTGAAAAAGATGGATTACAGGAGTCAAAGGCAGAGTGATTACTTACCTATCATGGCTGGCATAGCACGTGCTGTAAGGCACACCTGTCTGGCAGTAGATGTATGAGTGCAGGCAAACATCCCCAAAGAACAAGCAGTCTCTGCAGTGCTGAATGTGGAAATGTTTCTGTATGAGTTCATGCAATATCATAAAAGGTTATCCAATGTCAAATGGGCCGAGTGGAGACAGGAGTGAAAGACTGTGGGAAAGGAGATGCATTAAGATTCAAAAAGCCAAGAAAATCAAGAGATGAGAACGAAAACAGAAGGAAAGTAAAATAAGACAAGTAGAGTAGGGTAAGGTGTTCTTTTTTCTGTCAAATTATTAACAGGCAATCACAGGGAGTAAAAGCATGATAACTTGTTTTCGAGTGTAGTAGCACCTTTTGTCTTTCCTTCTTTCTTTTTCCTGACCCTGCATTTTATATGCAAGCCCACTATAGGCTGAGGATCTAGTTGGAGAGTTAGATCAACAGAAAGTATCTTTCTTGCTGTCTCAGAGTGACCCCATCACCAGTGTGACTTCTTCCAAGGTAAAAGATATGGTCAAAAGGTTGGTTTAGTACCATCTGACCTAGTTATAATGAAGCATATCATGACAAATTAAGTTAGATAGATAAGCATCCTGGTAAGCATTTATTG